AGCAAATCATGTCCTTGCGCTGCTGGTGAGACTGCTCCTGTGGCAAGGGACACCAGACTGCCTGCACTGTGCCTCCCCTGGCATCCCAATCTGCCTGGTCCCACAGCTGTGGAGTGCAGGCATGGAGGGTTGCCCATGCTGGTCCCAGTTCCCTGACCCCCAGCTTGGGACAGAGGAGCAGTCTGGACGTCATGGCCACAGTGCCCCGGAGCAATGCCAGGTATCAGACAGAGCACATGATCTGGTGCCTCTGGTGCCTCCAGCAACTCGGGGCTTGTTTCCTGGCAGTCAGACATGGTGGCCCAAAACCAGGACTTGGGGTAGGGGTGCAAGGGACTGGGAAGGCCTGGCTGTCTCTCTGTGGTGGGAATGTGTCCTCCCTGGCTTGGAAAGGTCATGACTAGTCTTCAGCCAGTGATTGACATGACGCTGTTCATAAATATTTTGTGCTTTGAGTGATAAAATATTAAACTCCTCCAGCCCACATGGAAAAATATTCCTCTTCCCAGTGTTTATCTTTGTTGCTGGTTATTGCAAAACTGCCAGGCCCCCTGAAATATTTATGGCTGACTGAGGCTCCAGGGGGGTTGGAGCTGGGCAGCAGATCCTAACACTGTTTGTCCCCTAACCCCACTGAAGATGAGGGCCAAGGAGGCTTTGACATTGTCCTTCTGCTATCAGCAGTGCTAAAGCAGCAGCTGGGACAATGGTGCCAGTGCCGGGGTGTATGTGAGGCTGGTGCCAATCCTGTCTGCTGGGGGGAATCATCATGACAGCAGTGCCAGCATCCCTCGGCATGGCACAATCCCAGTCCCCCCCAGCTCTCTGTCCCTCCCAGCCCAGGCACTCCTCTCCCCAGTGTCCTGCTCCATCTGTGCTAAGAGTTTTGAAAGATGGGACAATGGGGTCTGGGGCCCTGCTGCCGTGGGACTCCTGGGGGGACCTTGCCACAGAAATTCTGGGTTCAGGATTGCTGGGAGGAGTGAGTTCAGCAGAGTGGGTCTGACTCACTGCAGTGCCCCTAACCTGCAGGCTGCAAGTGCAGCAGCTGGCAGGGGCAGTGAGGTGGTTACTTGGGGTAGTGTCCCAGAAGTACCCCTGTGTCATCCATCCCCTGTCCCATTCTTGTCCCTGAGTCACGGAGCTCTCCAGGACAGCTGGGCTGCCAGTGAGGGACCAGTGGGGATGCAGTACAGCAGGATCCTGGGCAGCCAAATGGCTGTAGAAAGAGTTTCGGCTCGCGGTGGATACATGGAATGCTAAACCCTGCCATTGCCTCTGTCTTCGGATGGTTCAAAGCCTTCCCCAGCTAGGTGCTTGGGCCAATGGTGAGTGCAGGGGGACAGTGGAGTGATACTGGGCCCCTGAGCACCTCCCAAGGGCTTGGGGAACAGGAGGCAGGCCGGGCAAGGGGGAAACAGCCCCTGGGGCAACAGCTTGTGGCTGTGGAGCTTGAGCTTGAGCAACCCCACTCACTGGGCTGGGAGTGAGCTAGGGGCTCTGGTACCAGGGGAGTAGGCACTGAGCTGTGCCTTGCCAGGTCTGCCAGGATGCTTTTTTTCCTGCCTCTGCCCAGCCTGGACCTGGCCATCCCTTGCCTGGATCTAGGTGTGTCTTGCCTGTGTCCTGCCTGGTTCTGGCTGTGTTCTTGCCTTCTCTAACCATATCCTGAGTGTGCCCTGGCTCAGTCTGGCCATCGCTTACCTGGATCTGGCTGCGTCTTGCCCAGTGCCCTGCCTTCTCTGGCCATGTCCTGCCCGTTTTCTGCCTTCCCGGTCCGTGTCCTGCCCATGCCCTGCCCGGACCCTGCCAT